AAGAGCCCCCACTTAGTATTTTGTGTTTGTAGTGCAGTTCTTTCAGTAATGAGTTCTTTCAGCTTTCTTTTATCTGAAAACATCTATTTCTTTCACTGGGTATGAAATTTGAAGTTTGGAATTATTTTTCTTTTGGCACCTTTAAAGAATCATTGCATTGGCTTCTGACTTCCATAGTTTCCACTGAAAAGTCACCTGTAAGTATTATTGTTTTTCCTTTACAGATAATATGTTTTTTCTCTGACTGCTTTTAAGATTTTTTCTTGTTTCTGATTTTCAGCAATTTGACTGTGATGTTTTTGTTACTGTTTTCTTTGAGACAGGGTCTTGCTTGCATTGCCCAGGCTAGAGTGATTGATCTTGGCTCACTGCAGCCTCGACTTCCTGGGCGCAGGTGATCCTGCCACCTCAGCCTCCCAAGTAGCTGGGACTATGGATGTGCGCCACCACACCTGGCTAATTTTTGTATTTTTTTACGGAGATGGAGTTTCACCATGTTGGCCAGGCTAGTCTCATACTCCTGAGCTCAAACGATTTGCCTGCCTTGGCCTCCCAAATTGCTAGAATTACAGGTGTGAACCGCTGTGCCTGACCAGCAATGATGTTTTCAGCTATAGTTTTCTTTGTATTTATCCTGCTTAGATTTTGCTGAGCTTCTTGAACCAGTGGATTTGTTTTCATCAAATTTGGGTAATTGTCTGCCATGATTTCCTCAAATACTGCTTCTCTCTTTTTCTCTTTCTCCTCTAGGGACTTTATAAAACTCATGTTTCATATTCTGTTCTGTTGTTTTCCTTTCTTTGTTCCCTCTGTGCTTTAGTTTGGATCTGTTCTATTGAACTTTCTTCAAGTTTATCAATCCTGTCTTCTGTTAAATCCAGTATTAAATTGTGACATTTTAGAACTTCCATTTGATTCTTGTTGTAGATTCCAATTATCTTTTACAGTTCTCTTTCATCCATTTTTGTCTGTCTTTTCTTATTTCCTTTTTGGTTTGTTTTTCCTGCCTATTCTGCCTATGTACTCTTATTTTCTTTAACATACCAATCACAGTTATTTTGGCATCATGGCCTGTTTACTGCAATATCTGGATTGTTTCTGAATCTGTTTCTATTGACTATTTTCTCTTGACTGTCAACCACCTTTCTCTGCTTCCCATTTCTAGTGTGTGTATATATATATATATATATATTTTTTTTTTTTGTATCAAAGGGATTATAGATGCATTGTAGACCCTCTGGATTATGTTTATAGGATGCTATGTTTTCTGTAGATTGCTAAATTACTGACTTATCACCTGGGTTCTGTCAGGGGTTGGTTTTAGGCTTTGTTAGAACACATCTACTTCAGCTTGGCCTTTACTCCTGTGGTGTGGTCCTTGTTCCTAGAGCATGGCTTTTCTAGAGACTCAAACTGAAATATCAGGGTGTTCAGAAAGCCCTCTCTACTTTGATTGGACCTAAACTTTCATCTCTGTCTCCCCAATACTGTGCAGCCTCCAAAATCTTTGCCGAGGTCTCCAGCCTCCCAGAGCCTGTTCTCTGCCAGACTGCCTGGTATCTCACTATGTGCATACACAGTTATGAGTCAGCCAAGAAGTCAGTGGGGAATTTTGACATAGGCTGAGGAACCCATCCCAATCCCTAGCCTCCTGCAGCCCTGAACTCCAATAGCCGTTTCCCCTGCTTAGTCTCTTACTGTCTGCTTGGTCTCTTTTTCTCAGCACCTGGTTTGCAAAAAAATACCCTCAGTGAGAAAGCTAAGGCGAGTGTGTAGTCACCTTACTTCCCTTCGCTCAAGATTTGCTGCCCTGTTGGGTTTTTTTGTTTTGTTTTTTGTTTTTGTTTTTTGAGGTGGAGTCTCGCTCTTGTTGTCCAGGCTGCAGTGCAGTGGCACGATCTCGGCTCACTGCAACCTCTGCCTCCCGGGTTCAAGCAATCCTACTGCCTCAGCCTCCCGAGTAGCTGGGATTAATTACAGGTGCCTGCCACCACACTCGGCTAATTTTTGTATTCTTAGTAGAGATGGGGTTTCACCATGTTGGCCAGGCTCATCTCGAACTCCTAACCTTAGGTGATCCACCCACCTCAGCCTCCCAAAGTGCTGGGATTACAGGTGTGAGCCACCGCGCCCAGCTTACCCTGTTGTTTTATGTATTTCCATCTTCTATTGTTGTTTACGGTGACGTAAATCCAATAGCCTCACAATGTAATACGATAGAAAAGCAGTAGGGAAAAAAACTTTGCTTGAATTACAATCACTGTCAAAAACTAAATCTTTATATTTGGTATAAAAAGATTGGAAGCAATATAACAGCTACTCAGTTGCTGGCCAAGTTAGATGAGATCAGGGCACTGAGGAGGAACTTAGACTAATACCTGCTTTTGTGTGTTTCTCTAATCTCTCAGTACCTCCCTGCACTTGGCTATTCAAAACGGGTCCATCTGATGAATCCTATGGTTCCAGGATTAACAGGCAGCAAAATGAGCTCTTCAGAAGAGGTAAGTTGTCAGCTGAGACTTGAACTTAGAAATCTTCAGCCTCAGTGGACAGATGGAGGACTGAAAAGAACAGTGACCTGGCTAACTAGAATTCTCCAATATTTGAGTTAGAAGGTGCCTTACACCATTCAATTCTTTCAGTGGTTCTTTAGTATCAAAGGATCCAGAGCAGTCCTGATGAGATCTAATCATAACTTAATGGTTTTTGCTGCTGATAAAAAAATATATATAAGCAAAAGTAATGTCTTTGTTCATAGAACTGTGATAAAATTCAGCCTTATTAATGAGAGCACTATGGTTGCCTTTCACTAATTAGCATTTTGATTCCTAGGATAATACTTGATATCACTAATATTATGATATCTTTTAATATTTAAGAGTCCCTCTTGAGCTCATGTACTTGAGGGAAAGTTCACTTTGATTCTGATCATTAGAGCGTGGAAATCCAAAGATGTGAAAGGTTGAGTTCTGGGTTCCCAAACATGGCTTATCTTCAGAATCATCTAGGGAATTAAAAAAAAAAAAACAAAAAAAAGTGTTGATTAGACCTTGCCACAGAGATTCTGATAAAGTAGTTCTGAGAGGAACTCAGGAATCTGTATTTCCTTCCTTCCTTCCTTCCTTCCTCTCCCTTTTTTTTTTTTTTTTTCCTTTTTCTGAGATAGTTTCACTGTGTTACCCAGGCTGGAGTGCAGTGGTGCGATCTCAGCTTACTGCAACCTCCTCCTCCCGGGTTCAAGCAATTCTCCTGCCTCAGCCTCCTGAGTAGCTTGGGACTACAGGTGCCTCCCAACACGCTTAGCTAATTTTTGTATTTTTTAGTAGAGACGGGGTTTCGCCGTGTTGGCCAGGCTGGTCTCAAACTCCTAACCTCAAGTGATCTGCCCTCCTCGGCCTCCCAAAGTGCTGGGATTATGGGTGTGACTCACCGTGCCTGACCAGGAATCTGTATTTTCTTTGAAGTCCTACTAGGTGATTCTGGTTTAAGTCACATCTGGACACTCATCTAGTTCTTTAAATATGACATCTCAAACTTTGATCAGACATTGGTGATTATATGCATGTATACTGTTGTATTTTTTTGTTTTTGTTGTTGTTTTCCAACCTCACCCCATTACCATTTTGTTTTCTTTTTTTTTTTTTAGATGGAGTCTTGCTCTGTCGCCCAGGCTGGAGTGCAGTGGCATGATCTCAGCTCACTGCAGCCTCTGCCTCCTGGGTTCAAGCAATTCTCCTGCCTCAGCCTCCTGAGTAGCTGGGATTACAGGCACGGGCCACCACGCCTGGCTAATTTTTGTGTTTTTAGTAGAGAAGGGGTTTCACCATCTTGGCCAGGCTGGTCTTGAACTCCTAACCTCGTGATCCACCCTCCTCGGCCTCCCAAAGTGCTGGGATTCCAGGTGTGAGCCACTGCGTCTGACCTCCCTGTTACCATATTTTTAAAGAATATACTCATTCCCTTTTCTCTCACATTAAAATGCTCCTTATGTCACTTATTACTCTGACAAATATCATATCACTCATCCTGTTTGGTGACATTTGCTGTTTCTTCACCCAGGTAATCAGGCCTAGCAGTAGTTCCCAAATCAGAATCACTTGGAGAAGTTTATATATATATATGTGTTTCACCATGTTGGACAGGCTGGTTTCAAACTCCTGACCTCAGGTGATCCATCTGCCTTGGCTTCCCAAGGTGCTGGGATTACAGGCGTGAGCCACTGCGCTGGCCTTTTTTTAAAATTTTATATATATATAATATATGATATATACAATATATATAATATATATTAAAGTAAATATATATTATATAATAAATATATATTAATAATAAACCCAGCCAAAAAGTTTTTTAAAATACAAATTTAAGCCGGGCCTGGTGGCTCACGCCTATAATCGCAGCACTTTGGGAGGCCGAGGCAGACGGATCACGAGGTCAGGAGATAAAGACAATCCTGGCTAACACGGTGAAACCCCGTCTCTACTAAAAATACAAAAAATTAGCTGGGCGTGGTGGCAGGCGCCTGTAGTCCCAGCTACTCCAGAGGCCGAGGCAGGAGAATGGCGTGAACCCAGGAGGTGGAGCTTGCAGTGAACCGAGATGGCGCCACTACACTCCAGCCTGGGCGACAGAGCGAGACTCCATCTCAAAAAAAAATAAAATAAAATAAAATAAATAGAATAGAATAAACAAATTTTAAAAAAAAGACCAGCGTGGTGGCTCATGCCTGTAATCCCAGCACCTTGGGAGGCCAAGGCAGACAAATCACCTGAGGTCAGGAGTTCGAGACCAACCTGTCCAACATGGTGAAACCCCATTTCTAATAAAAGTACAAAAATTAGCCAGGCGTGGTGGCAGGTGCCTGTAATCCCAGCTACTCGGGAGGCTTAGGCAGGATAACTGCTTGAACCCAGGAGGCGGAGGTTGCAGTGAGCCGAGATCATGCCATTGCACTCCAGCCTGGGCAACAAGAGCGAGACTCCCTCTCAAAAAAAAAACAGGCCAGGGACAGTGGCTCACACCTGTAATCCCAGCACTTTGTGAGGCCAAGGCGGGTGGATCACCTGAGGTCAGGGGTTCCAGACCAGCCTGGCCAACATGGTGAAACCCCTTCTCTACTAAAAATGCAAAATTCAGCTGGGTGTAGTGGCATGCACCTGTAATCCCAGCTACTCAGGAGGCTGGGCAGGAGAATCACTTGAACCCAGGAGGCAGAGGTTGCACTGAGTCAAGATTGTGTCACTGCACTCCAGCCTAGGCCACAGAGTGAGACTCCATCTCAAAAAAAAAAAAAAAAGATTGCCTGGCCCAATCCCAAGAGATTTTGACTCATTAGGTTTGGGTGGAACCCAGTAAAAGGTGATTCATATACTGTCACATGTGAGCTAAAATTTGGTAACCACTGAACTCAAATGACCATGAACTCACTCTTTCCAAATAAGAAACAAAGCCTATTACCTAAAAAGGAAAAATGACTGTAGATAATATATAATACCTAGTGTGGCTGATTGCTGTGAACCAGTAGCCTCACACATTGTTGACAGCAATGTTGATTAGGATACCTTTCAAAAACCAATTTTGAACCTAGCAATTTTGGGCAGCTTAATGAAATGATTCTAGAGAAGGCAAAAAAACTCTGCAAAGATGTCCAATGTAGCATTATATGTAATTTGTAAAAATTAGCATAGAATCTAAGAGTTTGGAGTTTGTTAAATTATGTTTCCACTAATTATTGGGAATATAATACAGCATAAAAACTGTAAGTAGGCCATACATTGTGGTTCACACCTGTAATCCTAGCATTTTGGGAAGCCAAAGTAGGCAGCTAACTCAAGTCCAGGGGTTCAAGACCAGCCTTGGCAACATGATAAAACCCCATCACTACAAAAAATTTTAACAGCTAGGCATGGTGGCATGCACCAATAGTCCCAGCTACATGGGAGGCTGAGGTAGGAGGACTACTTGAGCCTGGGAGGCAAAGGTTGCAGTGGGCCATGATCATGCCACCACACTCCAGCCTGGGTGGCAAAGCAAGTGAGATCCTATCAATCCCAACACTTTGGGAAGCTGAGGCAGGAGGATTGCTAGAGGCCAGGAGTTTGAGACTGTCCTGGGCAACACAGTGAGACCCCATCTTAACAAAAATAAAAATTTGCTAGGCATGCCAGGCGCAGTGGCTCATGCCTATAATCCCAGCACTTTGGGAGACCAAGGCAGGTGGATCACCTAAGGTCGAGAGTTCGACACCAGCCTGACCAACATGGAGAAACTCCGTCTCTACTAAAAATACAAAATTAGCCGGGCATGGTGGTGCATGCCTGTAATCCCAGCTACTTGGGAGGCTGAGGCAGGAGAACTGCTTGAACCCGGGAGGTGGAGGTTGCGGTGAGCAGAGATCACGCCATTGCACTCCAGCCTGGACAACAAAAGCAAAACTCTGTCTCAAAAAAAAAAAAAATTTGCTAGGTATGGTTGTGTACACCTGTAGTCCTAGCTCCTCATGAGGCTGAGGTCAGAGGATCACTTAATGGCAGGAGTTTGAGGTTACAGTGGACTATAATTGCACCACTGTACTCTATCCTGAGCAACAGAGCGAGACCATCTCAAAAGAAAAAAAAATTATAAGGAAGGACCAGGTAGCCACTCAGAAATACTTAAAAGATAGACATTTATTCTCCAACTACAAATTCATAACAATTTTGTGTGCTATAAACAGCCTGAGAAGAACACAAAAAATAAAATAGTTTAATTTGTTAGATGGCAGGATTTTGAGTGGTTTTTCACTCTGTCGCCCAGGCTGGAGTGTAGTGGCATGATCATGCCTTGCAGTTTCAACCTCCTGGGCTCAAGTGATCCTCCTGCCTCAGCCTCCCGAGTAGCTGGGACCACAGGTTCATACTACCACACCCAGCTATTCTTTTGTTTTCAGTAGAGATGAGGTCTTACTGTGTTGCCCATGCTGGTCTTGAACTCCTGGGCTCAAGCGACCCTCCAGCCTCCCAAAGTAGTAAGACTACAGGCGTGAGCCACTGTGCCCAGCCTAATGTTAAAATATTTTTATTACCGGGGCACGGTGGCTCACGCCTGTAATCCCAGCACTTTGAGAGACCAAGGCAGGCGGATCACTAGGTCAGGAGATCGAGACCATCCTGGCTACCACCGTGAAACCCCATCTCTACTAAAAATGCAAAAACAAAATTAGCTGAGTGTGGTGATGGGCGCCTGTAGTCCCAGCTATTCAGGAGGCTGAGGCAGGAGAATGGCGTGAACCCAGGAGGCGGAGCTTGCAGTGAGCAAAGATCACACCACTGCACTCCAGCCTGGGCGACAGAGTGAGACTCCGTCTCAAAAATATGTATATATATATTTTTTATTTATTTTTACCATGTCCACAGGAAAATATCTGCAAGCACCTAATGTTAAAATCTTTGTAAAAAAATTTTTTTTAGCTAGGCACAGTGGCTCACACCCTTAATCCCATCACTTTGGGAGGCCAAGGCAGGAGAATTGCTTGAGCCCAGAAATTTGAGACCCGCCTGGGCCACATGATGAAACCCTGTCTCTACAAAAAATAGAAGAATTAACTGAGCATGGTGACACATTCCTGTAGTCCCAGCTTTCCAGGACGCTGAGATGGGAGAATCTCTTGAGCCCAGGAGGTTGAGGCTGCGGTCAGTCAGGATTGTGCCACTGCACTCCAGCCTGGGCGACAGAGAAGAAAAAACAAAATTTAGCTCATATCAGTTGAGCATATTCTCATTTTAAACCACAAGAGGTCCTTTTCCCTTCCATGACTTCTAGGAGTCCAAGATTGATCTCCTTGATCGGAAGGAGGATGTGAAGAAAAAACTGAAGAAGGCCTTCTGTGAGCCAGGAAATGTGGAGAACAATGGGGTTCTGTCCTTCATCAAGCATGTCCTTTTTCCTCTTAAGTCCGGTAATACTCTCTGTTTTCTTCCTAGAGGCCAGGCTAGAATAGAAAAATTCGTGCTGTGATCATACTTGTGATTTGTCACAGACTATTCCTCCAGGGACTGGCTGCCCTGATTCTCTGCTCTGATTTCTTATATATTAAAGTATGAATGATGTTGGGATGTAATTTAATTGTTCATATATTCATTACCAGGCTAGGTTCTGAGGGAATATTGGAGTGGGCAGAGGTGTTAGAAGTAAGGGTGGGGGCAGACATGTTGAACTAGAGGAATACAACAAAATAGATATAAGCCACAAGCCTTCCCCTGAAGCAGCTGAGATGCTAGCTGGGTATACAATAGTGCCATTCATCCAATCTAAGAATAATAAAATACCATACCATAAAGTTCAGAATATATGGCAAAAACTACAAATAGTCATGCATGTGGGTTAGGAATGCCGATTCTGCCACTGTCAATGAGTTTGCTGACATGAATCCTTTTCCTTACAGAGTTTGTGATCCTACGAGATGAGAAATGGGGTGGAAACAAAACCTACACAGCTTACACGGACCTGGAAAAGGACTTTGCTGCTGAGGTAATATGAAAGGAAAAGGAATCCTTTCCTGAAGATCTGTATTTTATTTTTTGCTGACTGTTAGAACTTTAGAACAACTTGTTCTGTGTAGAAGTAAGCTGCCTGGTATTTTTTCTCTACTTTTGGTAATCTCACCAGTGTCTATTTTCCTTCAAAACTGCAGTTTTGGTTAAAGTTTCTTGTCAGTTAGCTTTTCTGATTTAGGAATTTCGTTAATGCAGATGGATTTCTATCCCTCAGGGCCCTTTAAGGCCTTACCTGGCAGGGACTCTCTCTCACCTCTTCTCAGGAAACATTTTTCATCAGTAAATGTCTGTAATCTTATGCACACGGGTGGTCCCTTTAGGATGTACAAAAGCAGTACTCATTCAGTAGAAACCGTACTTCTTCAAGTACCCATACAACCATTCAACCATTCTGTTTTTCACTTTCTGTACCATATTCAATAAATTACATGAGATACTAAAAAAAAGAGAGAGAAAGAAAAGAATGTACTGGGCACAGCGGCTCACGCCTATAATTCCAGCACTTTGAGAGGCTGAGGTGGGTGGATCACCTAAGGTCGGGAGTTCAAGACCAGCCTGACTAACATGGAGAAACCCCGTCTTTACTAAAAATACAAAAAATTAGCCAGGCATGGTGGCGCGCATCTGTAATCCCAGCTACTCGGGAGGCTGAGGCAGGAGAATTGCTTGAACCTGGGAGGCGGAAGTTGTGGTGAGCTGAGATCGCGCCACTGCACTCCAGCCTGGGCAACAGGAGTGAAACTCTATTTCAAAAAGAAAGAAAGGAAAAGAAAAGAAAGAAAGATAATCCCCACGGAACTCTGCCAGACCTCTCCATCTCGGCCTGCCAGGTTTGTAGTTATATGCCACAGGGGTTTTTTTCTGTGTTTTTGCGGGGTTTTTTTTTTTTTTTTTTTGAGATGGGAGTCTCACTCCGTCGCCTAGGCTGGAGTGCAGTGGCACAATCTTGGCTCACTGCAACCTGTGCCTCCAAGGTTCAAGCGATTCTCCTGCCTCAGCCTCCCGAGTACTTGGGATTACAGGTGCCTGCCACCACACCGGCTAATTTTTGTATTTTTTAGTAGAGATGGGATTTCACCATGTTGGCCAGACTGGTCTTGAACTCCTGACCTCAGGTAATCTGCCCACCTCGGCCTCCCAAATTGCTGGGATTACAGGTGTGAGCCCCCGCGCCCAGCCAGGGCTCTGTCTATGCTCTCCAGGGCTGCATATTTTGTTAATGGCTTCGATGAGGATTCAGGTGGTTCCCAGATTCGATAGGCAAATGGTACAAAGCTAACATATTGGTGCTTTAATCACTCTCCAAAGGACTTAGCAGGCTGGAATAAAGAACTGAACTCAGCAAAGATGAAGTATTTCAGGAACAGGTGCAAAATCAGGGTTCAAAAATAAGAGATAATTATAAAAGGACAGAATAGAGGCTCCTATTCATTTCAACAGACACTTTAACAAAAGACTTACTAGGTGCCCATGTGTTAGGCACTATGCTAGGGACTGGTATTACACAGAGGGTTCAGTCCTCCTAAAGCTCAGTCCAGTAGGAGAGGCAGACTTGTTTTCTGGCTGCATTTCATTGGCTGCATTTTACATATGTATCTATATATATATTTTAACATATGTGTGTATATATGTGAATATAAGGTGTGAAAATATATATTACATGTGAATATATATAACGAAAAGAATATATATATATATATACACACCAGAAATAATATAGGAGGAAGTGATCAACTGACTCTCTAGAAAAGCTTGTGGAGGAGACACTATCCAAGCACTATTTTGCTTGAGGAATAGGAGTTCACAAGGAAATCTGTGAGGGAATAAATTGTACAAAGACATGGTAGGATGAAACAGCATGATGTATGAGGAATTGCAGGTGGTTTGATCTGACTAGAGTCTAAAAGGTGAGGGGGGGTATTGTGGGATAGATAGGCAGGGCCAGGTCACAAAGGGAAGACATAATACCGTGTATAGGGAATGAAATGGGAGGTGTTGGCCAGGCGCGGTGGCTCAAGCCTGTAATCCCAGCTACTTGGGAGGCTGAGGCAGGAGAACTGCTTGAACCCGGGAGGTGGAGGTTGCGGTGAGCAGAGATCACGCCATTGCACTCCAGCCTGGACAACAAAAGCAAAACTCTGTCTCAAAAAAAAAAAAAATTAGCTAGGTATGGTTGTGTACACCTGTAGTCCTAGCTCCTCATGAGGCTGAGGTCAGAGGATCACTTAATGGCAGGAGTTTGAGGTTACAGTGGACTATAATTGCACCACTGTACTCTATCCTGAGCAACAGAGCGAGACCATCTCAAAAGAAAAAAAAATTATAAGGAAGGACCAGGTAGCCACTCAGAAATACTTAAAAGATAGACATTTATTCTCCAACTACAAATTCATAACAATTTTGTGTGCTATAAACAGCCTGAGAAGAACACAAAAAATAAAATAGTTTAATTTGTTAGATGGCAGGATTTTGAGTGGTTTTTCACTCTGTCGCCCAGGCTGGAGTGTAGTGGCATGATCATGCCTTGCAGTTTCAACCTCCTGGGCTCAAGTGATCCTCCTGCCTCAGCCTCCCGAGTAGCTGGGACCACAGGTTCATACTACCACACCCAGCTATTCTTTTGTTTTCAGTAGAGATGAGGTCTTACTGTGTTGCCCATGCTGGTCTTGAACTCCTGGGCTCAAGCGACCCTCCAGCCTCCCAAAGTAGTAAGACTACAGGCGTGAGCCACTGTGTCCAGCCTAATGTTAAAATATTTTTATTACCGGGGCACGGTGGCTCACGCCTGTAATCCCAGCACTTTGAGAGACCAAGGCAGGCGGATCACTAGGTCAGGAGATCGAGACCATCCTGGCTACCACCGTGAAACCCCATCTCTACTAAAAATGCAAAAACAAAATTAGCTGAGTGTGGTGATGGGCGCCTGTAGTCCCAGCTATTCAGGAGGCTGAGGCAGGAGAATGGCGTGAACCCAGGAGGCGGAGCTTGCAGTGAGCAAAGATCACACCACTGCACTCCAGCCTGGGCGACAGAGTGAGACTCCGTCTCAAAAATATGTATATATATATTTTTTATTTATTTTTACCATGTCCACAGGAAAATATCTGCAAGCACCTAATGTTAAAATCTTTGTAAAAAAATTTTTTTTAGCTAGGCACAGTGGCTCACACCCTTAATCCCATCACTTTGGGAGGCCAAGGCAGGAGAATTGCTTGAGCCCAGAAATTTGAGACCCGCCTGGGCCACATGATGAAACCCTGTCTCTACAAAAAATAGAAGAATTAACTGAGCATGGTGACACATTCCTGTAGTCCCAGCTTTCCAGGACGCTGAGATGGGAGAATCTCTTGAGCCCAGGAGGTTGAGGCTGCGGTCAGTCAGGATTGTGCCACTGCACTCCAGCCTGGGCGACAGAGAAGAAAAAACAAAATTTAGCTCATATCAGTTGAGCATATTCTCATTTTAAACCACAAGAGGTCCTTTTCCCTTCCATGACTTCTAGGAGTCCAAGATTGATCTCCTTGATCGGAAGGAGGATGTGAAGAAAAAACTGAAGAAGGCCTTCTGTGAGCCAGGAAATGTGGAGAACAATGGGGTTCTGTCCTTCATCAAGCATGTCCTTTTTCCTCTTAAGTCCGGTAATACTCTCTGTTTTCTTCCTAGAGGCCAGGCTAGAATAGAAAAATTCGTGCTGTGATCATACTTGTGATTTGTCACAGACTATTCCTCCAGGGACTGGCTGCCCTGATTCTCTGCTCTGATTTCTTATATATTAAAGTATGAATGATGTTGGGATGTAATTTAATTGTTCATATATTCATTACCAGGCTAGGTTCTGAGGGAATATTGGAGTGGGCAGAGGTGTTAGAAGTAAGGGTGGGGGCAGACATGTTGAACTAGAGGAATACAACAAAATAGATATAAGCCACAAGCCTTCCCCTGAAGCAGCTGAGATGCTAGCTGGGTATACAATAGTGCCATTCATCCAATCTAAGAATAATAAAATACCATACCATAAAGTTCAGAATATATGGCAAAAACTACAAATAGTCATGCATGTGGGTTAGGAATGCCGATTCTGCCACTGTCAATGAGTTTGCTGACATGAATCCTTTTCCTTACAGAGTTTGTGATCCTACGAGATGAGAAATGGGGTGGAAACAAAACCTACACAGCTTACACGGACCTGGAAAAGGACTTTGCTGCTGAGGTAATATGAAAGGAAAAGGAATCCTTTCCTGAAGATCTGTATTTTATTTTTTGCTGACTGTTAGAACTTTAGAACAACTTGTTCTGTGTAGAAGTAAGCTGCCTGGTATTTTTTCTCTACTTTTGGTAATCTCACCAGTGTCTATTTTCCTTCAAAACTGCAGTTTTGGTTAAAGTTTCTTGTCAGTTAGCTTTTCTGATTTAGGAATTTCGTTAATGCAGATGGATTTCTATCCCTCAGGGCCCTTTAAGGCCTTACCTGGCAGGGACTCTCTCTCACCTCTTCTCAGGAAACATTTTTCATCAGTAAATGTCTGTAATCTTATGCACACGGGTGGTCCCTTTAGGATGTACAAAAGCAGTACTCATTCAGTAGAAACCGTACTTCTTCAAGTACCCATACAACCATTCAACCATTCTGTTTTTCACTTTCTGTACCATATTCAATAAATTACATGAGATACTAAAAAAAAGAGAGAGAAAGAAAAGAATGTACTGGGCACAGCGGCTCACGCCTATAATTCCAGCACTTTGAGAGGCTGAGGTGGGTGGATCACCTAAGGTCGGGAGTTCAAGACCAGCCTGACTAACATGGAGAAACCCCGTCTTTACTAAAAATACAAAAAATTAGCCAGGCATGGTGGCGCGCATCTGTAATCCCAGCTACTCGGGAGGCTGAGGCAGGAGAATTGCTTGAACCTGGGAGGCGGAAGTTGTGGTGAGCTGAGATCGCGCCACTGCACTCCAGCCTGGGCAACAGGAGTGAAACTCTATTTCAAAAAGAAAGAAAGGAAAAGAAAAGAAAGAAAGATAATCCCCACGGAACTCTGCCAGACCTCTCCATCTCGGCCTGCCAGGTTTGTAGTTATATGCCACAGGGGTTTTTTTCTGTGTTTTTGCGGGGTTTTTTTTTTTTTTTTGAGATGGGTCTTCACTTCCGTCGGCCTAGGGCTGGAGTGCGTGGTCACAATCTATTGGCACCTGCAACTGTGCATCCCAGGTTCAAGACCGCTTCTTCCTGGCCTCCAGCTCCGGAGTACTGGGATTACAGGTGCCTGCCACACCGGAATTTTGTGTATTTTTTTCAGTAGGAGATGGGATTTCCCACCATGTTGGCCAGACTGGTTTGAACTCCTGACTCACGGTAACTTGCACCCTCGTGGGCCTCGCCCAAATTGCTGGGAATTACAGGTGTGAGCCCCGAGCCAGCCAGGGCCTCTGTCTATGCTCTCAGGGCTGCATACTTTGTCTAAGGCTGGCAGCTATCAGGAATTGAGGATTCAGGTGGTCCCAGATCTCGACGTAGGAGAAATGGTACAAGCTAACATATTGCGTGCTTAAGCACTCTCCAAAGGACTTAGCGGCTGGAATAAAGACACTGACTCAGCAGAAGATGGAGTATTTCAGGGAACAGGGTGCAAATCAGGGCTTCAAAGAATAAGGGAGGATAATATATAAAAGGACAGGAATAGAGGCTTCCCTTTCATTCCTCACAGCCCTTACAACACAAAACGACTTCACTACGGTGCCCATGTAGTTAGGCCACTCATGCTACGGACTTGGTATCTACACACGGACTAGGGGGTCCAGTCCTCCTCAAAGGCTCCATTCCAGGTAGGAGGGCCAGACTTGCTACTAAATATTCAATTGGCTGCATTTTACCCCCCCATATGTATCCTAATATATAATATTTTAACATCATGTGATGTATATATGGTGAATATTAAGGTGTGAAACCTATATCATTACATGTGAGTATATATAGAACGAAACAGAAGGTATATATATATAATATATACACCAGAAATAATATAGGAGGGAAGCTGATCAACACTGCACTCTGCATAGAAACAGGCTTGTGGGAGGGACCATATCAAGCACTGATTTCTTGCTTCGAGGGAATTAGGAGTGTCACAAGGTGAAATTCTGTGAGGGGAATAAATGGTAACAAGGACATGGTAGGATGAAACAGCATGATGTATGAGGAATGGCCACGCGGGTGGTTTGGATGCCTGGACTAGAGCTTAAAAGGTGAGGGGTATTTGTGGGATAGATAGGCAGGCCAGGTCACAAAGGGAAGACACTAATACGTGTGTAGTAGCGAGAATGAAATGGGAGGTGACCCGGGCGCGTTGGCTCAAGCCTGTAATCCCAGCAATTTGGGAGGCCGAGAACGGGCGGATCCCAAGGGTCTGGGAGATCAAGAGCCATCTGGCTACACGGGTTGCAAACCTGTCTCTACTAAAAGCAAACAAAAACAAACTAGCCAGGCGACTGGTGGTGCGGCGCGGCCTGAGGATCCAGCTACTCGGAGGCTGAGGCAGGAGAATTGGGTAAACCCCGGAGAGGTGGAGCTTGCAGTGAGCTGTGAGATTTCCGGGCCACTGCACTCCAAGCTGGCAACAGAGCGAGTCGATGGTCTCAAAAAAAAAAAAAAGAAGATGGGAGGTGTTGTGACTTGATTCTGAATTCAGGCCAATCAGTCTTACTTGGGACGTGTTAGAAATGTTTAATATATGGTCAGGGTGCAGTGGCTCACACCTGTAATCTCAGGCACTTTGGCGAGGCCAAGGCAGGAGAATTGGCTTGAGCTCAGGAGTTGAAGACTAGCCTGGCAACATAGGTGGAGACTCTGTCTCTACAAAAAAAAAAAAAAAAATACTGGCCAGCCATGATGGCACATGCCTATAGTCGCAGCTACTGGGAAGGCTGAGGTGGGAGGATCGCTTGAGCCCAGGAAGGAGATCAAAGCTGCAGTGAGCCATGATTGCATCACTGCACTCCAGCTGGGTAACAGCGTGACCATGTCTCAGAAAAAAAGTCTTTTGTGGGAATTAGGAATAGATGAAATGCCTCAGAAAAAAGGCCTGCAGCCACGTTATCCAACAGTACTTTCTGTGGTGGTGGATATGCCCTATCTGTACTGCCTGATATAGAGGCCACATGTGGCTGTTGAGCACTTGCAATGTGGCAGGCGCAGCTGAAGAAGGGAATTTCAGTTTACATTTAAATACCCACACAAGGCTAGTAACCACCATAATGGACAGCGGCAGCCCTAGAGCTTTTTATTAAACTCAAATATTCCCAAGGAAATGAAGTAGCATCAGAAACAAAAATGTTCGCATTGTTGTATTAAAAGTGTTCATTCCTAAGGGATGTCCCCTCAGAATATCTAGAAGATTCTTTCAGACCAGATTTGAGATATAAAAAAGGCAGTCAGCCAAGTACGGTGGCTCACACCTGTAATCCCAGCACTTTGGGAGGCTGAGGCAGGTGGATCACGAGGTCAGGAGTTCAAGACCAGTCTGGGCAACACGGTGAAACCCTGTCTGTACTAAAATACAAAAAATTAGCTGGGCGTGGCTGCATGCGACTGTAGTCCCAGCTACTCAGGAGGCTGAGGCAGGAGAATCACTTGAACCCGGGAGGCAGAGGTTGCAGTGAGTTGAAATTGCACCACTGCACCCCAGCCTGGGCAACGGAGCAAGACTCAAAAAAAGGGCAGTCACAGGACACAAAGAACAAAATGGAATTACTGAACTATTACCATGTACCAGCAGTGTTATCATTTTCACCCACATTCAGTGATTTAACCCTCATCCCCATCCTGTGAGATATAGCTATTATTAGCCTCACTTTATAAGTAACAAAGCCAACACTGGCCGAGTGCATTGGCTCGTGCCTGTAATCCCAGCACTTTGGGAGGCAGAGGCAGGCAGATTGCCTGAACCCAGGAGTTCAAGATCAGCCTGGGTAACATAGCGAGATCCTGTCTCTACAAAAAGAAAAGAAAAAAAGAATCAGCCAAAGCTTAGAGGGGTTATGTGCCTAGTTTGGAGTCACACACAGCTAGCTGGGAATCTAATCTGGGTCTGTCGAACTCCAAAGCCCTTGCTCTTTCTTCTTACTCAGCTCTCTCCCTCAGGTTATCTTTAGGCCTTGGATTACCTATGTGAATGTTTCTATGCTTGTAAATACCACTTGGTCTGTGACCCTACTCTAAGCATAAATGGAGGGACTAGAAGAATTAGACTAACAAATACATTCAGCTCCTAAACACCCTCAAGTTAGTATAGATTTCAGAATCAAAAGACTTGGATTTCGGACACGTTAGTCTTTCTGAATGTGTTTTCCCTTCTCTCTTCTACCTGCCTCACAAGATTATCACAAGGATCAAATAAGACTGTTGGGAAAAACTCCCTTGATCCTACTTTCTTGGATTCAGGTGTCCTGTGCCCTGTTCTAGACCTTATCTCACTAGGTCTTGTTTGATTCTGTAGGTTGTACATCCTGGAGACCTAAAGAACTCTGTTGAAGTCGCGCTGAACAAGTTGCTGGATCCAATCCGGGAAAAGTTTAATACCCCTGCCCTGAAGAAACTGGCCAGCGCTGCCTACCCAGATCCCTCGAAGCAGAGTAAGGCCAGCCGGAAAGGGGCCGATGTCATCAGGAGAGGGAGCTTGTCAATGAGCCTTGGAAAAATGCCTGTCTTCAGTTGAGGGCACAACAACCCAGGGGGTCTGAGTGCAGGAATGTCACGTCCTACTGGCTCCTAGAATGGAACTTGAGTCATTTTGATTTGGGTTTGGTGAACACCAGGAAGTGATCACATCCTTTTGTACCAGCATTGCTGAGAGCTGCTGGTGTAAGATATATACTTTGGTTCTTCTAGTCTGTTTGCTAAATCTGCCTCTTCATTAAAGATAGTGACTGGGGCCAGACACAGTTGCTTACACCTGTAATCTTAACACTTTGGAAGGCTGAGGCAGGTGGATCACTTGAGCCCAAAAGTTAGAGATCAAAACCCAGTCTCTACCCGCCCCCCCCAAAAAAAAAAAATTAGCCGGGCATAGTAGCACATGCCTGTAGTCCCAGCTACTTGGGAGGCTGAGGTGAGAGGATCACCTGAGCATGGGGAAGTTGACACTGCAGTGAACCATGATTGCACCACTGCACTCCAGCCTGGGCAACAGAGTGAGACTCTATGTCTCAAAAAAGGAAAAATGATAGAAATTAGGTTAGACCTATTATACCCAACTGGTATATAGACAGTCTCTTATACAGCTATTGGGCAGAGCCTGCAGAGCTTAGAGAAGCTTATCTTTAGATTCTCCCAGTTTCCTTCTATGTGCATAGGCCTAGCTCTTAGTTGGCCATCCACTTATGCAAAATGCTGAGATACTGGCATTGATAGCTTTGTGCGACCCTTCTAGAAAAAAACTAAGTAACTGAGTAAAATTTTTTTTTTTTTTTTTTTTTAATTTTTCAAAAAGAGACGGTCTGGCTCTGTTGCCCAGGCTGGTCTTTAACTCCTGGGCTTAAGCAATCCTCCCGCCTTGGCCTCCTAAAGTGCTAGAATTACAAGTGTGAGCCACCACACCTGGCCAAGACTCAGCAAATTCTATATAGAATGCATGAATGGAAATACCTAAAGGAGGCAAAGTTACTACTGCTCCCTCCCCTCTAGTCTAATAATTGAGGGAGAGAACAGATGAAAATCAGGTTTGTCATGTCTGAAAGGTTGCCAACCCAGTATTAAAGAAGTTATAACTCAGTAGACTCTGGGGATTCTTTGCTAAATCTTACCTAATATCAGTGTCTTCACGTGGTGTGATCAGCAGCTGATCTGCCACAGGGAAGAATTCTACCTCATGGGGTTCTTCTCATTCCTAGAGCCAATGGCCAAAGGTCCTGCCAAGAATTCAGAACCAGAGGAGATCATCCCATCCCGGCTGGATATCCGTGTGGGGAAAATCATCACTGTGGAGAAGGTACTCATTTTTCACCACATCTCAGAGAGGCAGATGGGGTCAGGTTTGTCTGTTTCCATCCGGAGGAAACGTGGCCTGGAGATGGGAAGTAACATCCTGAGGTCATATTGCAAGTCAGAGTGCAGGTGTCTAATTCCAGGCATCAGGCTTTCTGTTGCGATTGTCGCCTGTGGACATTACGCAACCAAACACAGCCAGGAACTCGGCATGGGGGACGGATGTTAGTCAGAGGGAACTTGTTTATCTGTTAAATCTGGTCTGATGGACTCATCTGATCCCCATCAGCTTGTCTGGACTAGCTACAGGCCTCATCTTGGATGAGCCACTTTGCCCGCTTCAGAAAGTGGTAGAGGGAAGACGACTTCCTTTTTCCCAGAGACAGAAGGTTATGCACCCAGTGGCCTGGGACCATTGTTCTGGGCTTTTTTTCCCTTCAGCATTGATTTGCTTCTCACTGTGTACCCCAACCACCAAAACCACCCTGAGATCAATTCTGGTGCTCCTGCATCAGATGGCAAGGCCAGCAATTGTCCCCCTCCCATCTCCCAGCCCACCTAGGACCTGTCTGGTGCAGTACATGCACCATAATGGTAGCCATCTAGACAGTCTGGGTCGTTTAATCTCTATTAGAGATCCTTCCACCTCTTAACACGAGCATCTAGGTCCATTTTACTCAAATCTGGCCTCAGTTGAGAGCAGAATATACCTTCAGAGCCCATTCTCCTGTCTGCTGTCTGGGACCCAGAAAGAAAGTTAGCTCTAGGGGGTCCTTCCAGGGCCTCTGTAAGGAGTGGGTGCTCTTTTCTGGAATCCAAGAGTTCACCAGGCTGCTTTTCTAATGGATAATGATGCTCTTCCTCCTGACGTCTCCCTGGCAGCACCCAGATGCAGACAGCCTATATGTGGAGAAGATTGACGTGGGGGAAGCTGAACCACGGACTGTGGTGAGCGGCCTGGTACAGTTCGTGCCCAAAGAGGAACTGCAGGACAGGCTGGTAGTGGTGCTCTGCAACCTGAAACCCCAGAAGATGAGAGGAGTCGAGTCCCAAGGCATGCTTCTGTGTGCTTCTATGTGAGTGAGGACTTGGGGTGGGGCACAGGACCTGGGGAGGCCAGGAAGAGTGGGGAATCAGCCCATATGAAGTCCTTCCACACACCAGGTGGAAGCTGTGAGAACACGTGCCTCTTCCTCGCTGATGCCAAAAGTTGATGCATGAAGGACTTACTGTACAAGTACTGTGAATGAAGCATTTTACCTACAGTTAATTTTGTTAAAATAGAAATGGAGGGCTCAAACCAGTACATGTCCAAGTCTTACTGCTAGTAAGGAGTGGTGCAGGGATTCAAATCCCAGTTTTGATGTCTATAAAGTCCTTGCTATGTTATTTTGTACTTCCTCCCCTAGAAACACAGATTTTGGTATCTCTCCTGACACACAATTTTGGTATAGCCTGGGTTAATCTAACCCTGGTGATGTGCAGAGATGTAGCAAGATAAGAGGACCTCCTGGGGCTCTGGTACTGAGGATGCCCTAAATCCCATCAGGGCCCCTGTGTAAAGGCCCAGATTGCTTTGGCCTCCACAGTCACTGGAACCCATCCATAACCTCACCCTTCCCTTGTCCTGTGTGTCTTCCCAGAGAAGGGATAAACCGCCAGGTTGAACCTCTGGACCCTCCGGCAGGCTCTGCTCCTGGTGAGCGCGTGTTTGTGAAGGGCTATGAAAAGGGCCAACCAGATGAGGAGCTCAAGCCCAAGAAGAAAGTCTTCGAGAAGTTGCAGGTAAAAAGCTGTAATTGTTCTCCTTCTTGGCTGGGCTGCCTGGACTGTGTCTCCAGACTGTCCTGTTACTGAAGCCATAGCTGCCCCTCTCTGTTGGGACTTCCTGCATTTGAGTCCCTCTCTTCCTCCTCCTCTCCAGATCTTTCTGAATTCAAGGTGCCTGAGGAGCATGGGGGTCTTAGGACCTTGCATTACATCTCTGACAGATCATTTGAGGCCCTGTGTGAGGGACTTCAGACATTTCTTCATTTGATCTTCAGTCTGTGATAGGAGATTATCGCCATTTTACCTGGCAGGTTACCTGACAAGGCCACATAGGGTCACCAGAAATAATGAGGGCAGGGCCAGGTGCGGTGGCTCACTCCTATAATCCCAGCACGTTGGAAGGCCAAGGCAGGCAGATCACCTGAGGTCAGGAATTCAAGACCAGCCTGGCCAACGTGGTGAAACCCTGTCTCTACTAAAAATACAAAAAATTAGCTGGGCATGGTGGTGGGTGCCTGTAATCCCAGCTACTCCGGAGGCCGAGGCAGGAGAATTGCTTGAACCTGGGAGGCAGAGGTTGCAGTGAGCCAAGATCGTGCCATTGCACTCCAGCCTGGGCAACAAGAGTGAAACTCCGTCTCAAAAAAAAAAAAAGAAAAGAAATGATAAGGCCAGGATCAAAACCTTCCCAGGGTCCCTCCTGCCCACCTTGAGTTTAGAGCACTCATTGTCTCCTTGCTTTCTGGACAATGAAGATCTGGCCTTCCCCAGTGATCCTTGAATTTATTCATTCATTCATTTAACGAATGCCGAGTCCATAATGTAGGTGTCAGGCAGTATTCTGGGTGCTTGGCCTACCTCAATGAATAAAGCAGTAGGAGTTGATTCTCCTCATGGAACTAACACTTATGGGTGACTCTTTCTAGTTAATACCGTGTTTCTTCAGTGAGATAGGTAAGTGCTTCTGGAGGACACTGAGAGTCGTTTCTACTCTCCATCCTCTTGCATGAGGCCATTTGCTTTGCCTACTCCCTCCTTTCCTGGTTTTCTAGGCTGACTTTGTGAATCTCTTTTTTCTGGCTATAAAATAAATTTTCATGGTAGAAAACATCTAAAATATAGGAGAAAAACAAACAGAAAAACCACAATATCCTAGTCCTGCCACCTAGAGATACTAAAGAATGTCATTAGTGATTATTTCCTTCTGGTCTTTTGCTATGCTTGGAGTGATAATACGTTTACAGTTTGTCATGCTAAATGCTGTTTATTAATTAGAAACAGGGTCTCACTCTCACCCAAGCTGGATTACAGTGGTACCATCATAGCTCCCTGTAACCTCAGGCCTGTAAACCTCCTGGACTCAAGTGATTCTCCCGCCTCAGCCTTGCAAAGCACTGGAATTATAGGCATGAGCTACTGTACCTGGCCATGATTTTTATTTTATTTTATTTTATTTTATTTTATTTTATTTTATTTATTTATTTTTCCTAGATGGAGTCTTGCTCTGTCGCCCAAACTGGAGTGCAGTGGCACAATCTCAGCTCACTGCAACCTCCGCCTCCCAGGTTCAAGCAATTCTCCTGCCTCAGCCTCCTAAGTAGCTGGGATTACAGGTGCCTGCCACCACATGCAGCTGATTTTTGTATTTTTAGTAGAGATGGGGTTTCACCATGTTGGCCAGGCTGGTTTCAAGCTCCTGACCTCGTGATCCACCCACCTGGGCCTCCCAAAGCACTGGGATTACAGGCATGAGCCACTGCGCCGAGCCTCCTGGCCATGATTTCTTTCACACCTCTAATCCTAGCACTTTGAGAGGCTGAGGAAGGCAGATCGCCTGAGGGCGGGAGTTCAAGACCAACCTGACCAACATGGAGAAACCCCCGTCTCTACTAAAAATACAAAATTAGCCAGGCATGGTGGCATATGCCTGTAATCCCAGCTACTTAGGAGGCTTAGGCAGGAGAATCGCTTGAACCTGGGAAGTAGAGGTTGTGGTGAGCCGAGATCACGCTATTGCACTCCAGCCTGGGCAATAGGAGCAAAACTCCATCTCAAAAAAAAAAAAAAAAAAAAATCGAGGGGTTGCACTGTATAGTATTCTACCATAATTGTCAAAATCTAAACTCTTACTAGACATTGAGGTTGTTCTGTTTTTCACTGTTAGAATGATGTGACTGTGACAGATGTCTTGGTGCATAGGCCTTTGCACTTAGGTTTATTTTCTTTTTTTTTTTTTTTTTTGAGACGGAATCTGGCTCTGTTGCCCAGGCTGGAGTGCAGTGGCCGGATCTCAGCTCACTGCAAGCCCCGCCTCCCGGGTTCACGCCATTCTCCTGCCTCAGCCTCCCGTGTAGCTGGGACTACAGGCGCCCGCCACCTCGCCCGGCTACTTTTTTTTGTATTTTAGTAGAGACGGGGTTTCACCGTGTTAGCCAGGATGGTCTCGATCTCCTGAACTCGTGATCCGCCCATCTCGGCCTCCCAAAGTGCTGGGATTACAGGCTTGAGCCACCGCGCCCGGCCAGGTTTATTTTCTTAAACTAACTCCCTAAAATGAACTTACTTGAGTCAAAAGATGAATGTGAAAGCTTTTGACAAACATCTCTTAGAAAAGCTGAGCCAGCTTACCCTACTGGTATATAAGAGAGTTTTCAGGCTGGGCGCGGTGGTTCACGCCTGTAATCCCAGCACTTTGGGAGGCCAAGGCAGGTGGATCACCTGAGGTCGGGAGTTCAAGACCAGCCTGACCAACATGGAGAAACCCCATGTCTAGTAAAAATACAAAATTAGCTGGGTGTGGTGGTGCCTGCCTGTAGTGCCAGCTACTCAGGAGGTTGAGGCAGGAGAATCACTTGAACCTGGGAGGCAGAGGTTGTGGTGAGCCGAGATCACGCCATTGCACTCCAGCCTGGGCAACAAGAGCAAAACTCTGCCTCAAAAAAAAAAAAAAAAAGGGTTTTCTTGCAGTCGCACCACCATCATTAAAATCATTTTTATCTATCTTGTCCAGGCTGACTTTAAAATTTCTGAGGAGTGCATCGCACAGTGGAAGCAAACCAACTTCATGACCAAGCTGGGGTCCATTTCCTGTAAATCGCTGAAGGGGGGGAACATTAGCTAGCCAGCCCAGCATCTTCCTCCCTTCTTCCACCACCGTGTCATCTGCTCTCTGCAGTCTGCTCCATCCATCACCCACCTGCCCATCTCTCAGGACATGGAAGCAGCGGGTTTGGACTCTTTATTCGGTGCAGAAATCAGCAATGGGCAGCTCACCCTCCCCGGAACCCAGGATCATCCTGTCTGGCTGCAGTGAGAGACCGACCCCTAACAAGGGCTGGGCCGCAGCAGGGAGTCCAGCCCTACCTTCTTCCCTTGGCAGCTGGAGAAATCTGGTTTCAGTATAACTCATTTAAAAATTTATGCCACAGTCCTTGTAATTGGAAAAATACTGGTGCCCAGGTTTTCTTGGAGTTATCCCAGCAGCTGCGCCTCTAGCTGGGATCCAGTACCTGGACTGGGCTAATTACAGCTTCTCCCCAACAGGAAACTGTGGGATTTGAAAAGGAAAGGGAAGGGAAAACAGAGAACCTAGTGGTCTACCAAGTGGTTGGCAGCTTTCCCAACGTCTGCTTACACTGAGGCTTGGCACTGGGGGGCAGGGCCTGCCCCAGGGCTCTTGGAATTTCCCTTGATCCAGCTAGCCTGGGACATTCCCTAAACCAGCTGCGTGTTAACATCAGGCAGAATGAATGACAGGGAGTGATTCTGTCTTCAGAGAGGGTGGGGTACTTCTCCATAAGGCATCTCGGTTCAATCCCCATCATTGTCATAAATTCAAATAAAATGTCTGAACAAGGGTGTCTGGATGTAAGCTGTACCATCTCAGGAGAGAACACAAGTGTGAGGCAGCTGATGGCCCCTCACCTGGTCTGGGGTTCCTTTACCCTGTAATGGGGGGGTGGGGGTATAAGATGGACAAAACACCTTGACAGTCCCTTTGGCAGTACTAGGCAGAAGAGGCCCATACTTGGGTCCACTGTGTGCAGCAGGCAAAACATTTTCCCTTCTAAATGTGGGCCCAGGCCACTGCCCTGTCCCCCCCGCATTAAGAAGCAATAGGCACAGCCAAGTTTCAATCATTTAATTAACCCCTTTAAATGAAACACAGTTTTTTTCATGTGTCTCACTCAGGCTTCAGGGCAGAGGGAATGGATTTTTTGTTTAGACATATCAAAGACTCAAAAATTTAAAGAAATATATATATGTATATATATACTTCTAACATTTTATGGAAATTAAAAATCAGAGGCTTTTGGTCTCTCCATTTGCTCTAGGTCAAGCTCATTTACCTTAGAGGACAAAGAAGGGTTGCCTCTTCTAGACCCTCCCTTCTCCTTGTGTCCTCTGTCCCACCCAGCAGGGAAACAAGCTCAGAAGATCTAACAGGATGAAGAGTTCCAGTAATGTTGGAGGAGGCAGAGGGAAAGAGAAGTCAGGCTCCCTCCCACCTCCAGCCATTCCCAGGTTGCTGCTGCCAGGGCCTGGTTTCATGCAGCTTTGACCCAGTCCTGGATCCTAGGGGGTGGGGTAGATCAGGAGCTCTGAGCAGAACAGTGCTCACCGATTATCCTCTTTACTAACTCAGTGGGCAGGTGCAGCGTACACCCAGCAGCACTCTCCACTGCCCACAGGCAAGGGAAGAATATTGATTGATTAGCTACGAGGAGAAGATGGTAGTGACCAGCGGAAAACACCCTGGAGAGGGCCAGAGGAGAACCTGGCTCTCACCACATCCCCTCTGTTCCCAGCCTTGGTGAGGGGGCAGAGAGGTCATGTCGACCTCTTTAGTGGTGAAGCTAAAAGCAAGGTTCCTTGCCAGACTCAAGCCCAAGTCACTGTTGAGGAAAGAGGATCAAGAAGGAAGGGGTGGCCCTGGGGGGCAGCCACGCTGCTGTGGACCCACAGGGGCCAGTGGGGAAGCCAGCTTGCCTAGACAGGTGGCACAGGCTGAAAATAGAAAGGTTAACATTCCTGGAGGAGAGTGCAGTAAGAAAGGCTGATACCTAGGGGACCACGACCCAGCCTGCCCTAGGAGCACTGGATGTCCCTCACTGACTAGGGAAGACTTGAGTATGCACCTGTGGCTTCCCATCCTTGTCACTCGGCATTAGCTCCTCCCAGCGGAACCACCTGTGCTGAAAAGCAGCTGCAGAAAGGACATCCACCGACACGAGGAGAGAGAAAGGTCAGAGAATGAAGTGTGGAGGGCCAGGCCTGGGCCTGCTGCTCAAGGAAGCTCTCCCCCTCCAGATGCTCCCTTCCATCCACCTCCTCGGTGCTTGCTCAGCCCAAAGGCTCCTGCCTCTGAAGTGCTGGGTGCCCACCCACCCCAGTGTGGTCAAGGAGGCAAAGGGCAGGTGCTTGACACTGCCAAGTGCCCCGAGATGACTCTACTGCTCTTCTGCTCACCCATCTCTTTGGGCCCTGGCAGTCTCCTACTTGTCCCCAGCATGGAGCACCTGGCAGAACTGGAAGGCAGGAGGGTGGTTGGTGAGTTGAGGCACAGGAAGGCTAATCCTCTCTGCACCTTTTGTGCTTTGGAATTCTACAGCCCCACCCCTGCCCCCAGCCTAGAGAAGCCTGTGGGAACAAAATGACTTGGCCACCTCCAGGAACCAAGCAAGAGAAGGAGTAAACTGGATTGGGCAGGAGGGCACAGACTGGTCTCAAGCTATGGGCTGGCTGCTGGGGATGGATTCTGCTGCCATGTAAACAGGCCCTTGGAATGCAACTTCCTGGGCCCTGGAGGATGGCCATGCAGCCACTTTTCAAAAGTGCTTTGATTCTGGACTATAGTATGTGCATGGTTTGGACATGAAAAAAAAATGAAACTCAGATGAGGTGTCCTGCTCCCAACTCTGCGGCCTCAGGGCCAGCAGGGGGCGCAGCCACCCTCTCCCGCCAGCTACCTCCTTCAAGATGAGGCTAAGGCCAAGACTGAAGCGGCAACTGCCGGAGGTGACCCCATTCGGGAAAAGGCATGAGCGCGGGATGGTTCGGAGGACAGGAGCAACACCAGGCTTGCATAAATATCGAAGGCCGTGGAGGTTAAGGCTGCAGGCGCCCTCTCTATTAGGTTGTGTCTGCTGTATCCTCTCGTCCTTGGAGCTGCTCGGGTCCCTGAGATTGTGTTTCTGGGATGGGTCAGCAGTGTCAGTGAGGTGCCTGGTGGTCAGGCCAGCTCTTTCTGTAAGTCTGGGGGAGAAAAAGAAGGGACACTTAGCAAGGGGCCTCCTGGCTTAGTTCTGGCACTAAGAGCCCAACAAGGCATACACTCACCCAACCTTGTTACCCCTTTTACTATGCCTGCAGCACTGGGCTGGACACCCTACAAATGTTCAGACACTATAATATAGGTGTCACTGCCCCACACTTTACAATGTAGCTAGGAAGGGCAGGGAAAGATACAAAATTAGCCAGGAATTTGGCTATTGAACCTTGGAATTCAGACACAGTAGGCCTGACACTCACACACCATTCTCCTCCTCTGGGGCCCAGCAAGGGTGATAGCTGGCCCTTCCCAGGCATTCTCAGACCATAAAAGTTAAAGATCCAAGAGCAAATACCCCATGACGGGATTTCAGATTCCCACTTCCCATCATCAGCAATGGGACCCCACCCTAGCACTGCCCACTGTACCTGAGCCCGGGAGGCCCATCTTCTCCTCTGGACCCACCAGCTGCACGACACCTCCATTCTCCGCCAGCTCCCCCTTAGTCCTGTCCTGGGTGTGAGGGAGCCCATTGGTGGGAGGAGCAGTAAGGGGTTCAGCTCGAGGGTAACTGGGGGAGGCGGATGGGGGGACTCCCACAGATGGCTTGCGGGCCACAGGCGGGGGAGCCTTAGGTGACTTCTTTGGGGCCTGGGGTGGCCGCTGCTCTGAGATGCTCCGGAGTTCTGCCACCAGATTCCGCTGGAGGTCAGCCTGGGTCTCAGGGGACATGGGCCGCTCCAGCTGCAGCTTCCTAGTGCCCTTGGAGAAGATGAAGCTGGCCGTCGAGGCAGGGGACTGGGGAGGCCGTGGTTCTGCCTCAGGCGGTCCGTTGGGCTGGGCACTTGAGAGGCCTTCGTTGGCGGCCAGGCTGCAGGCCTTGAGTCGGACGGCAGCATGGAGCCCTGCGGAGGGGGCAGGCACTGGGCTGGCCCGCCCTGACAGGGCCCTTCGTAGTGGTTTCTGGGGGGCCAATGGCCCCAGTGCTGGGGTGGAAGCCCCTGCTGGAGCACCCACAGAGCGCAACCGCACCATCTGCAGGAGCGAAGGCGTGACCAGGGGTGCACCTACGTCCTCCCTGGGAGGCCCACCGCCCTTGCTGCAGCCCACCGGTTCCTTCTGAGGGAGCCTGGCCACATGCCCTGGGGCAGAACTAGCAGGAGCTGGGGCTGGCGGAGCTGGAGGAGGGTCTGGGCTACCCTGGGGCTGACTCTGCAAAGCAGTAGCTGAGGAGGACGAAGCAGCCGGGGAGCTGACAAGCTCTGGGGAGCCTGAAAGGCCTACAGGCTCAGGGCTGGCCACAGAGAAAAAGGCCTCCTCAGGTGGGGGGAAGTCAGCCATGGACAGGTCCTGCTCCTCAGGGGCAGGGGGTGGGGGTGGGGGCCAGTTGGGATCTTGGAGGGGCTCCTCAGCAGTCTCTGGGGCAGATGGTGCCTCCACAACCACCTCTGGCTTCTTAGTGGGTGGTGGGGGTGGATGATAAGATGGGGGTGGGGATGGTGGGGGTGACTGGTCTTTGGAGATGACAGGAGACTCCTGCAGTGGGGTCAAGGTTGTCTGGGAAGTGGGAGGGGACTGGGGACTGGCATCAGTGGTAGAAACAGGCCCAGGAACCACAGCAGGGGCGGCTGGAGCAGAGGCAGCTGGGTTAGGGCTCTTGGGCTTGGAGGGAGGTGGAGAGAAGGGGGCAGGCACCTTGGGGTGAGGAGGTATGACAAACCTGTCACCCAGGGGGGTCAACATCTGTGGCCCAGAGCGGTCTGAGGGGGCTGGGTCAGAGGAGGAGGAACATAGAGACGTGAGGGAAGAGGAGACGGAGGCCCCAGGGGAGCGAAGGGACGTGACACGCTCTGGTTTAGGGGGCTGGGCCTTGCCTGGGGAAGCAGGGGGAACTGCCAGGACCTTGGGAGGGAGGGTGGGAGTACCACTTTGGCTCGAGTATCCACTGGAAGGTGAAAGCGTCCGTTCTGGGGAGCGTGGGGGGCGCCGGGAGCCACCCGGAGACAAGCCAGGTACCCAGTTGTTTGCTGGGTTGGGTGGACAGGGTGCTGCCCCCGCCCCTTCTGAGCCACCAGTGGTGGGTGGCCGAGGCGGCTGGGGCTGCTGCTTACGCTCAGGCTTAGGGGGCAACCCTAAGGGCCCATCAGGCACTGCTAAGCCCCGCTGATGGAGGGAGTGGGTCCGGCGGGGAGGGGGTGGAGGCCGCTTCAGCTTACGTAGGGACACACTCCGGCCAGACAACTGCCCACTGCTCCGAATGCTGAGTGTGTCTGAGGCCTCAGCGGTGCTGCCCCCACTGGGGGAGCCCCTCCCACTGCCTCCCTGGGGAGGGGGTGCCATGCTATTGCTAGCCATAGAGCCCTCCGGCTGGCCCTCAGAGCCACCCTTAGAGGAGAGGGTGGAACCGTCAGACACAATGGTGTCGGAGGATTGAGAGTGGCTCCAGGTGTCACTGGAGGAGGACGGGTGGCGGCTGCGGGGCTGTGGGCTGGAGACCGAGGAGAAGCGCCCCAGCGAGCGGACTGAGGCTGGGCTGGCCGAGTGCAGGCTGCAGCGGCTTAGTGTGCGCAGGCTGCAGCGGCCCAGGGC